CCTTCCTCTAGAGGGGCACTCAAACCCCAACATGGTATTGGAAGCTCTTGGATTAACTGAGGAAGAGGGGGAGAATGGATAGCACCTCAACCTAGCAGGGGAGGGGATGTGCCCTTCATTACATGTAGTCAGCCAGCTGGACAGACGGCAGCCTGTGCCTCAATTGCTACCATCTAATAATGACTTTTTCCCTTTATGTGTTGTCCTCCCCAGTACTTCATAGAGAGTCTCCCTCGCCTCCACTGGAGACACTAGGTTTCTTGATCTTTTCTTCAAAGAGAAGGGAGGGGAGAGGAGGTTGTAGGTGGGGCAAAGCCCATCTCATCTCTTCATCTAAGTCAGAGCATTTGCTCTCCTAAAAGGAACCTAGAAGGGAAGTTCTCCAAGTTCTTGCTCAGATAGGAACAGATTTCTCTCCCTCAGCAGAGGAACAAGACAGTAGCAGAACACACTGGTCTTGATGAGTGATGCCATCAGTACTGAGTAGCAAGGAGGGAGATTTCAGGAGGCAGGAAGGTAGGGCACATCTGGCGCTGGTCTCACCCTGATGCAGAAGCCTAGCCCTGCACTGTTCTCTTTAGATGAGTATGACGATCACCACGGTCCTGTTCACTGTAGCTGAATGTGCGGGAAGACCAGGCACCCATGAGGCAAGGGGTCTTCCCTCAGTCTTGGTGTGGAGGCAGCACATTACTTGAGCCCTAAATATTTTTAAATTCCTTTCGGTTGTGTGACCGTATTCTTCAGGACATTGGGTAGCACTAAATGACTGAGGATGAAACCAAATATGTCTATATTGCAAAAATTCTCTTGATTTTTTTAAAAAAGGCCTTTGAGTAACACAGAACTATGTTCGGTTCTAGAATTACTTTTTTTTGTTTCTATTTCTCTGGTGAAATTTTCTACCCTTTCATTCATTATGAGCATACTTTTTAGTTTATTAAGCATAGTTATAATATCTGATTTACAATACTTGGCTACATCCAAAACCTGGATTTTCTCTTGAAAATTTGTCACATTTTCTTGGATCTTTGTATATGGACTAATTTTGGACGATTTCTTGAATATTGTGAGTATTATGTTATAAAGACTGTAATATTTACGTTTCATGATTAAGCTAATATTTTAGTCTTAGCAAGAAATTCACTTGGTTGGATGAAAACTACACATGCTTTTTTGTGGGTGGCAGCTTGAACCTTAGGACCATTCTTTTAGCTTTGGCTGGGTTACCTGCAGCCTGACCACCCTATGAATGGCTCAGGAATCAGCCTGAGGTTTGGACAGACTTTAGGACCCCCTGTTTTGGCTCACTCCTTTTCAGGATTACCCACTCACTTTCCATTAGTGGTGGTTGCCAAGATTCTCTTATCTTTTGCCTCAGGCCAGAAAGACTGAGATTTTGTCAGAGTTTCAGCTGTCTCACACTGTGCTGAGTGAAGCCTCTGCCCTCTGGCTATAAGCTGAGATAGAAGATGGATGGATGGACAGGTGGGTGGATGGACGGATGGACAGACACACAGACAGACAGACACAGACAGACACAGATAGACACAGATAGATAGATAGATAGATAGATAGATAGATAGATATAAAAATAACTCATTCTGTGCCAATACCTTCTGCCAAGTGTCAACTTCCCTCCAAAAATCTCTGCTTTGTTCATGATTCAGTCTTTAGTTGTTTATTTGGTAATTTGTCCAGAGTGTATGGTTATTATTTGCTGGAGGAACAGTCAGAGAGGAACTTTCATGGCCATAACTGAAGCATAACTTGCAGAAGCATAATTCAAAAGAAAGAAAAGGGTAATGGAGAAGGGAAAGAGCTAGCATTTGTTAAGCTCCATATATAGGCAACACATTAAATACTTTTTCTGTTCTTTTTCTGTTTGCTTATGTTTTATCCTTCTTGCCCAAACAGTGAAATGCTCTTACGAACTTTAGGCTAGCCTCACAATTCCACCTGGACCACTGGCAATATAGCATGGCTCATATTTTGTGTTTGATCCCAGAAGTACATTGCTCAATGTTAGAAACATGCCCATGTGTCTGGAATAACTGCCTTGATACATTCTCCTAGAATTTTTCTAGGATGCCACAGCCTCACTCATATTTTTTTTAAACATGTAATTTCACCAGCATAGCTGAAACCAAGAACTTCCCTAGAACCTAAGTGTCAAAACGACTTTCATTCATTATTGACTCCTTCACAAGATGTTTATTTTGTTTATTACATGACATAGTCCAATAAAGGGACATTTTAAAAGTTCATTCTCAATACCTAGCTCATATTACAGAAATCTGCCTAGGATCACCCACATCAAAAGCACTTAGCATATACCAGGTACTAATCCTAGAGCTGGAGATGCAGCTGGAAATAACATGCAGTTCCTGACCTTAGAGGACTTATGGTCCAATATGATGAGATTATCAGGAACACAATTTAGTCTATTCAGTGTTAAGACAGAATTAAATTTGTTTATGCCAGACATTCTTTATAAGTACTAGGGCCTGTAAACACTGGATTTCTAAAAAATAAAATAAGAAGAAAAAGTCAGTACATTTTTTGGTCTATAAAGCCTCTTGGAGAGTAGTGATGTATACTGTGTGCTTCATTTGGTTGCTGAAAATATGTGAGAAACCAAAATCAATAAGTTAAACTGTTGGTGGAAATGTAAATTAGTTCAGCCATTATGGAAAACAGTATGGGGGTTCCTCAAAAACCTAAAAATAGAACTACCATATGATCCAGCAATCCCACTACTGGGTATCTATCCAAAGGAAAGGAAATCAGTATGTTGATGATTTCTCTGCACTCCCATGTCTATTGCAGCAGTCTTCACAGGAGGCAAGATACAGAATCAACTTAAGTGTCCATCAGAGGATGAATGGATAAGGAAAAGATTATGTGTGTGTATATATGTATATATATGTAAATATATATATGGAATATCATTCAGCCTTAAAATAAAAAGGAAATTGTCATTTGCAACCGCATGGATGAACCCAAAGGACATTATATCAAGTGAAATAACCCAAGCACTGGAAGATAAATACCACGTTTTTACTCACATGTGAATGCTAAAAAAAACTTGCAAGTTGCTCTAGCAGAAGTCATTACTAGAGTCAAGGAAGGGAGAGAGAGGGGGACAGCCAAAGGCTGGTTAAGGAACACAAAAGTATACCTAGACAGGAGGAATAAGTTGTAATGCACTATAGTACTATAGGGGGACTATATTAACACTTTATCGTGTATTTTCAAATAGCTAGAAAAGCGGATTTTGAATGTTCCCAACACAAAAAAATGATAAATATTTGATGTGGTTGATATGCTAATTACCCTGATTTGCTCATTACGCAATGTATATATGTATCAAAATATCACACGGTAGCCCACAAAGATGTAAAATTGTTATGTATCAATTAAAAATAAGAATAATAAAATCAAAATCAATAAATTAATTTGTTAGAGGCAAATGCCCATATATCATTGATTCAATCAGCCATTCCTTCATTGATGTAACAGAAACTTACCAGTTACGTGTTATGTGTTATGTGACAGACTCGGTGTTAGGAAAGTAAGTTAGGAGATGAAGACAAATTAACATGTGGAACAATAATTAGGCTGATTTTTTGTACTTGTGACTATAGGCAAGTGACTTTGTTTCTGAGCCTCAGTTTCCTCAGCTACAAAGTGAGATTAAAAATAACAATACCTATATCAGGAGGTTATTTTCAATATTAAATGTGATATTTTTATATAGAGAGCACCTGGGATAGTGGTTGGATCCCAGTAGATCCTTAATGAGTTTCAGCAATTTTTCCATCCTGCTACTATAGAAGAGAAATTTGAGGCCCATTGCAGTGAGTAACTTACTCACCTGGGGCACTACACACCTAGAAGATAAATTAAACACAAGCATGTGGTACAAAGTACATGAGTCTTGTTTGAGACCAAAAAGAAAGATTAATTCTGCCTGTGGAGTCTGAGACAGAATCAGGGAGGAATATTTAACCAATTCCACGGATGACTTTCCAGATATTGTCCATAAACATATATCTGGAGACTTGGAGCAAAGTTTTTAAAAAGTCCATCAACTGCTGATCCCGTAGACACCTTCAGATCTTCCATCTGATCTCTTCCTCACTAATGGAGCTTCCTTCATCTTTAAGAGATTATGCTGGTTAATCTTTAATGACAAGGATCAACACCAGTTTCTCAATCCTGACTTTTTTATCATCTTCAGAACTAGCAGGTGAGAGGAAAAAGAGGAAATAACTGCCTTGATATGTTCTTCTAGCATCACTCCCTCTAAAGTAAAAAGAGTACTTCTTTAAACCATGTAACTTTGCCAGCACAGTTGAAACCAAGAACTTCCCTAGAACTTGAGTGTCAAAATGACTCATTCATTATTTAATCCTCCACAAGATGTTTATTTTGTTTATTACATGACATTGTCCATAAACTGGAAGCAGCTTCAGTGGAAAAAAATCCTCAAAGTAAAACCCTGAGAAGATTATTAGTCCTAAGAAGGATAATCTCTTTCTGATTTTCCTTGTGTAACTAAAATACCTATGTAACTCTATTTTAAGAAATAAGGCTTATCATAAACATTAGTTTATGATATACAATAATATGTAAAAATTATCTTAGTATGACTTTATTGCCAATTATCTGAATATAACCTCCATCTCTTTTTTTCTCTTTCTTTCAACAGAACGCTACAGCTTTCCATGTAACTGTCCAAGATGATAATAACATCGTTGTCTCATTAGAAACTTCAGACATCATCAGTCCAGCATCTGTGTATGTTGTGAAGATAACTGGTGAATCCAAAAATTATTTCTTCGAATTTGAGGAATTCAACAGCACTTTGCCTCCTCCTGTTGTTTTTAAGGCCAGTTATCATGGCCTTTATTATATAATCACTCTGGTAGTGGTAAATGGAAATGTGGTGACCAAGCCATCCAGATCAATCACTGTGTTAACAAGTAAGCATCATGTGTAATATTGTCCCCTGTTTCTTCTTATTGTTCCCCTGTTTCTTCTCACGTGGCTTGAATTGAGAGAAGCCACCCAGAATGGCAAAATCACTTGCCTTGATGCCAAGTGACATAGATTCAATGTTATGAGCTATATTAACAATATAGCTTCTTGCTGGAGTTTGATGTTTACTCTTTACCTTGTGATAACAAAAATATTTTTAAACCAAAAAAAGTAAACCTCAATGAAGGAGTATATTTTGAGACTGAATGACAATTTCAAGTTCATGATTGCACTGTGTAATGTTCTGCTGTATTACTTAATAATGTCATCATAACTTGTCTATTTTTTCCAGAGCACGTACTCTCATATTTAGCAATTCAGTTTGGGGACAACGAACTGATACCCCTATTTAGCCTGCTCAAATTCAGGTATAGGTCTTTGGCTGAGAGAGGGAAAAAGATATATTTATTTATCACTTGTTATTCCCTACCTCGTCTTCAAAATAGCTTTGCCTTCTACTTCTCAAGAAAAAATGCCAAGAAAAAAATTACTGGCATTTTAACCTTCATGAGTCCATCATATAGAATTAAGGCTGACATTGGGAAATTTTTAGGAATGGTTTTAACTCCATGTGTTTTTTTTTCACTTTACTCACTGACTTTAATATCTAATGTCAAATTAAGATGTGACTCTACTGTCTATGTTGACATGTGGAAGAAAAACTGGTATCTGTAAGATAGCAGAGTTTATCACTAGCACAATACAATGGCTCAGCAAAGTCCCTTTTGCTTATGTTCTTCAGTGCAAGTTTTGCAACAACTGCAATTTGTTAAATGCCATCTACGCATGATTGTTCTTGTGATAATTAAGGGAAAAGACAGTGATATTGTCTGTTGGGATAAAAGGAAACAGAAACTACAAGAAGCAAAAACTCAGAACCAAGCTAGAGGACATATTTTTAATACGTCTGTCAAAAATTAGTTAAAGTCTCCATTGGCAGAGTCCCAGGATCAGTAGTGAGTCCTAAAAATTAGGAATGGTGTAGACCCAAGACTTTCAAAGTTTATAGACATAAGGAACAAATCTATTAGCTGAATTAAAGGGAGAACTTACCTGGTAAAATACTGTCTTAAACAAGCTCTAGAAAAAGACGAATTGCAAGTCAGATTTAGGCAGCAGATATAGACATATAATGCCTATAATACAAACTCCTTGAAATCAAAAGCTGTCTTACTTATCTCCATAATTTCATAAACACCTAGCCCAAGCCTTATGCTTGCTTAATAGATGATCCATAAATATTAGTTCAATTTAGTTGAGCAAGTAATAGAGATCCACAGGAAAAAAAGATAAGGCACAAAGAAAAATAAATTTAGGACTGTAATGACGGTTGCTGATCCAACATTTATGAGCATGCACTCAGCCATTCCTCATCAGTTGCAGCTGAATGATTCAGCCCTTTAGCTAAGCCTTCGTGAAGAAATTTGATAGGTAAGTAGATGCTAAATGATTTCTAGAATATCACTTAGCATTTATGATGAGTTTCATTCAAAATATATTCTATTTTCCTTTGTGATGTTTTTCTTTGACCTGTAGGGCTTCCAAGTGTGTTGAATATCCAAACATTTGGAAATTTTGCAGACATCTTTTTTATTGATTTCTAGAGGAAGTGCTGTTGTGATCAGAGAACATATTTTATATGATTCATTTACTGGAAAATTGTTGAGATTTGTTTTATGGGCCCAAATATGGTCTTTCTTGCTGTGTATTCTGTGAGCACTTCCTGGGTGAAATTTCAGTAAGTACCAACCAGGTCACGTTGTTTGTTCAAGTCTTCTATATCCTTACTGATTTTCTGTTTATTTTTTCTAATAATGACTGATAGAGGAATCTGAAAGTCTCCACCTGTAACTGTAAATTTGTCTATTTCTCCTTTCACTTATTTTGGTTTATGCTTTACATATTTTGAAGCTCTGTTGTTATTAGGTGCAAAAACTTTTAAGATTGCTGTGTCTTCTTGATAAACTGACCCTTTTGACTATATGTAATGTCCCTCTATATTCCAAGCAATATGCCTTGTGTTAATTTTCCTTTTGTCTGATATTAAAATAGTCATTTTAGTTTTCTTTTTTAAGTGTTTGTGTGGCATACTTAATCCATGCTTTTGCTTTCAGCCGACTTCTGTCTTTACATGTAAAACGGTTTCCTGTAGACAGCACAGAGTTGAGTCTTGTTTTTTTTTTTTTTCCAATCTAAAAATCTCTGTCTTTTAACTGGAGTACTTAGGACAGCACTATCCAATAAAAAGAGAATGTTAACCTCATATGTAATAGTAGATTTTCTGGTAGACATATTAAAATGCTTTTTAAAAAGGTGAAATCAATTTTAATAACATGGTTTACTTAATCCATTACATTCAAAATATTATTTCAACATATAATCAATATACAAATTTACCCATTTTTTTACTTTGAAACAGAAATTAAATTTAAGTAAAAATAAAGCTGCACTAGCCTAATTTTAATTGCTCAATAGCCATATGTAGCTAGTCACTAGCAATTTAAATGTGTAGGTTTAGACAATATACATGTAATTATTAATATTTATTATTATAATATAATACAATTATTTATATGGTTGAATTTGAATTTACCATATTGCTAGGCTGTTAGGTAGAATGAGCAGTGAGTAGATCTAGTCAATAGTTGAACTGGGTTTAAGGTATTAGACACCTTCTGTTCATCACAGATTTCCAGTTCTTCCCATGGTAGGCTGCCAGGAGTGGTAGAGGGTATTTCTCAGTGTTTCAGTTCCACCCTCAGTATGCAGCAAGCCCTGAACATCGGCACCACAGAAGAGCTCCCCCAGCAATAGACTGCTGTTGTTTTTCTCTCATCGCTAACTTTTTGGCGGGGACAGAAGATGTTCTTGGTTCTCATGATCCAGTCTCAGGCTTAGGCAGACCCTGTGACATTAGATGGGACATTCTTGACATTTTTACCCTCAAATTACACTGACACTGAAATTCTACATTAAATCTGTGGGTCAGAGAGTTTCCTGCCTCTTCTCCAGTGGTAGCAGAACCACTGATACTCTACTTTGTATCAACGTAGGACTCTGGGCCCAAAAGAGTTTCTGCTCCTCTCCCAGGAACAGGCGTCTTTTGTTTCTGTTCACCCTTCAAAAGAAGGGATCTTTTCCTGAGAACTGGAAGGGAAAGATTTTTCTGCCCCTCCACAATACATTAAGGTTTGTATTCAGGAAAGGTCCAGGGAAGTAAGTTTTCTTGTTGGCCTCTTAGTGGTTTCAATTATCATCTGCATGCCTGTCGCCTCCCACACTGATCCCCAACCCCCCAGAAGGAGGCTCTCTCCAGTCCCTATATTTATGAGACTGCCTCTGGTAGTCCTCATGAGCATGGGATAGAGGCCCAAAGGGAAAGCGAGAGAGACACAGTAGACTCTATTTGTGTCTGTGTCTCCCAGTTAGTCTAGACTAGTGGTGACCCAGAACTTCGGGATGATAGAAATGTTCTATATCCATATTGTCCAACATAGTAGCCACTAATTTCTAATTTTAATTAGTTTTAGTTCATTTAAAATTTTATTTAAATATCTCCATGTAGCTAGCTAATAACCACCATATTGGACAGAGCAATTCTATGCATCCATTTAGACCATACTTAGCCTTTATGAATCCATTAAAATTGGAGCTGCTTTCTTCTTACCTGCTTCAATGTTGTATCCTTTTCCTGCTGTGCTTTGCCAAAAGGTGAAATAGTGTGTCGCCTATCTCCAGAGGGGTTGTTCACGCCTTGCAATTCATATTACTTGGTTGACTTGCTACCTCACCTCTCCCGTAACCTCAAGAATAGTTATGATTTCGTGGATTACATGGCTTTTGCTTGTTGAGGTAGAGAAGAAGTGATGTTGTCCTGGGGCTTTCTACATGTTAAGGGGAAGAGGAAACACGTATTGATTTCCAAAGAGTAAAATTAATTCATGATGGCCTATCAAATATTGTCTTGTACCCCATTGTTAAAGGCTCCATTACATTATCCCAAATTTAAGGAGCGATAATAAGTTGGGAATATAAGAAGTGGGGATTAGTGCACAAATATTTCTGTGACATTAGGCATGAGCTGGCATTTAGTGACATTTGGGTTTCAGCTTCCACCTTCATAAGAGAGGGAATTAAAGTACATGATGACTCAGATAACTTTTGAGCTCTGAAACTAACATTATCTGTCAGTTAATGATGTGTTTTTGCCATCTTTATTTTTCTAACTGAAAGCTTTTTAAACAAGTTTGGAAAACATTTGTAGTATCTGCTCACAGAGTTGACATATTTCTCTTGAGAATAAGAGAGTACCTTTGTAGCAGTCATTTATTGTGTGTTAGATGCTTGTCTTGATGAAATAAGTAATGACAAAGCAATTGGCCCCAGGGCAGTCCTTTGATATTTCGCTATAGTTGTTCTGAGTCTGTCACTCTTAGAGAAAGCTGAAAAACATGTCAAAGAATAAATTTGGCATAGCAGAGTCATTTGGCCAGTTCAAAAGAATTTCACAACCCTTAGGCTGTGACATCTCATTAATATTTAATTGATTGAGAACCTTCAGTATATTGCATGCACTTCAGAGGGAAGGGGTAGTTTCTCAGCAGGTAAAAGGATACCTGGAATCAGTTGCTTGGAAATTGAGGAAATGTCACATACACACAGCTGTGTCACGTGTCAGTGAAGTTCTACAGATACTGGCTGTACACACTAAAGAATACACAAGGAGACACTCTACAAATATAATATTCTATACAGACCTATTCTAAATAAAAATAATTCATGAGTTTTTATTTTAGTTATCAAGTACATTCTCTGTGCCATGTCCTAGGTACCAAAGAAATAAAGATAGATAAAAATACTCATAATCAAAGATGTTATACTATAGTGGAAGAGACAAATAAAAACCATTGCAAATAATATGATAACTGCTATTGTAACCAGAAAGGGGTCCCAATCCAGACCCCCAAGATAGGATTCTTGGATCTCAGGCAAGAAAGAATTCAGGGCAAGTGCACAGTGCAAAGCAAAAGCAAGTTCATTAAGAAAGTAAAGGAATGAAAGAATGGCTACTCCTTAGGCAGAGCAGTCCCAAGGACTGCTGGTTGCCCATTTTTATGGTTATTTCTTGATTACATGCTAAACAAGGGGGTGGATTATTCATGAGTTTTCCCAAAAGGGTGGACAATTCCCAAAACTGAGGGTTCCTGCCCCTTTTAGACCATATAGAGTAACTTCCTGACATCGCCATGGCATTTGTAAACTATCGTGGCACTGGTGGGTGTCTCTTAGCATGTTAATGTATTATAATTAGCGAACAATGAGCCAGTGAGGACAACCAGAGGTCACTCTCATCGCCATCTTGGTTTTGGTGGGGTTTGGCCAGCTTCTTTACTGCAACCTGTTTTATCACCAAGGTCCACCCCAGCAGGTCTCAGCCTTATTTTACCCAGTCCCTATTCAAGATGGGGTTCCCGTGGTTCAAATGCCTCTGACACTGAAAGAATTATGTGAAAGAGATTGCCTTGCCTTCCTAGGGAGCACTGGGAAGGCAGCACAGAAGAAACAATCATTAAAAAACGAAGGAAAATTTCCCAAAAGAATAAAGAATAGAAAGTGTTACAGAGTGAAATGGAATCATATATGCAAATAATGGAGGCATACATAGTGTGGCACACTTGGTAACTGCAAGAAGTTAAGATGGCAAGTGTTAGCTGTTCCAGAAAATAACAAGAAAGGTGGCTAGAAATGTTGAAGAACTTTAAGTACCTTGCAAAGGAATTTAGACTTTAACCTATAAGTGATGAGGGAGAAATTACATAATAGGATTTGAATGGGGAAAGCTCTCTTGTAGCAGAGCTGCAAGCCAAGAGATCCTGAATCCTGCATTGGAATTGAAAAATTATCAAGCGAGTAAAGCAAGTATTTGGGGTAGTCGTTCAACCATATGTATAGCCTTGGGCAGATGATTACTTTCTCTAAATCTTAGTTTTCAAATCTATAATTCGTTCTAGGGGTTAGCAAACTTTTTCTATGAAGTCTTAGATAATAAGTGTGTTATGCTTTAATGGCCATACAGTCTATATTGCAACTACACAACTCTGCTGTTGCAAACAACAGCAGCCACACACGATACATAAACAAATTATCATGACTATGTTATAACTAACCTTTATTTAGAGACACCAACATTTGATTTTTTATATAATTTTCATGTGCCATGAGATACTATTCTTCTTTTGTTTAGGTCCAACATCTAAAAATGTAAAAGCCTTTCTTAGCTTAAAAGTCAGACAAAAAACAGGTGGCAGAACAGATTTGGCTTTGTGGACTGTAGTTTGCTCACTTGATCTGTCATATCATTATAATATGTAATATTGGGATAATTAGAGTACCTACTTGGTGGGGGGCATTATAAAATAATGCAAAGTAAGCTCCTTAACAAAGCATGCAGTACAGGATCAATCAATATAATATGTATCAATGGCACTAAATAGAAAGTTACTCGAGGTGTCAGAAGTGAAGGAGATTGAGACAGATTGGGCAGGGAAATATCAGTGAGATGGAGGTGACTGGTTTAGGACAAAGATTCTGACTAAAGTGAGAATATCAAGTAGCCTACAGACATTGAAATTTTGAGCAGAAATGAGTAAGAAAATTAAGGGGAGAATGGAGGCAGGGAGAATAATTTAGAAAGTTGTTGAAATGCTCGAGGAAAGAAATGATGAGGACTTGAACTAAGGTACTGGGTGTGATGGTCACCACCTAGCTTGGACCATGGGCAGTCGCTGTTGCCAGACCTACTTCACTGGTATGCTTCGATGTAGCTGAGGTGCCAGGTCAGGTCTCAAATCATCATCTAAACACCAAACAGTAGCTCTGGTCTCAGTCCAGTCCCTTTTCCCTGTGCCTGCCATCAGAAGTGAGGGTCTAATTCCAGATCCTCTCTCTCAAGAGAACTTGGCTGGAAGAGACACATTCTTCAGTTGGTCACATCAGAGGTTACTGAACATGAACACAATTGCTTCTTTAGTTTTAATTCTTTAGTCCGGCTAAACAGAGCAATCTCAGAAAGGAGCAACTCTTAGCAGTTAGCATTTAATAAGTAATACAGAGCTACTTTTGTTTTCTTTAAACAGTATGTGCTCCACATTTGCTTTTATTTCTTTGTCTCTTCTCTGAGATAGTCACATCCAGAACTTTCAAAACTTTCCTATTCATGATCTCTCGTGAATGATTCAAAGATAATTAAGGGGCATAAAATATTGCTCAATTTGAACATGAGTTTTCATTATATGAGACACATAATGAGGGAAAAAATAATCATACTAAATGTCATTTTTTATTAAAGAGAAAACTGGGCACTTAGGCTAGGATTTCTTGTCAAAATAATGCAGTCTATTCTTCTTGTCATCCACTTTTTGCTCCTACCACAAAGCAAAAAGAAAAGCAGAAGCACATTTCCAGACCCAAACCCACAATAGTTCTCTGAGAACCAGAAACAAAATAAAAACTCAAAGTGGGGAAATGGGCTGAAGTAATGGGCCCTCTGTGCTCTGGGTCTGGAAAAGACACTATTGAGTCTGGACCCCAGTATAGTCAGAAGGACTGAAATGCTCCATGCTAGACAGGGCACAGAACCAGGCTCTCTGCTTATAGCAAAGATTCTTCCTGTTTGACAAACAAAAAAAAATACATATATAAAGACCTGAGGATGCAGAGGACACATATGCATCTTACTACCAAGGTCCAAGGCTAGTTACTGTCTCACTCAGTGAATGAATCTATAGTGATAACCACTATATCATCCACAATATTAAGAATGGCAAAATAATGTCATATGTCTTGTTGTAGACCGGGTGCTTTGGTGGGCTGACAGGATGCAATGGCTTAATTGTTTTAAAAGCAAGGCATAATAAGTGAGAAATGGGGAGATGAAAAAGCATCAAATGAGCCCAGAGCCTGTGTCTCAAAACACATGAAAAACTTATGCTAAAAAAGATAGATATCAAAACAACTATAACTGTTCAGATTGTATTTTAAATAGCAATTTAACAAAAATTTAATTATGTTTATAATGTTCAAGGACATAAATGTAAGAACCGCCTCCAGTTTTTGAAACCAGGGAATTAGTGAAAAAAAAAACAATTGGCAAAAAACAGTGCAGTGCTGTGCCTACAGTTCCACCTACTCAGGAGGTTGAGGCAGGAGGATCCCTTGATTCCAGCAGTTCAGATCGAGGCTGGACAACATGATGAGACCCTATCTCAAAAAAAATTTGCAGAAATAAAATAAAAACATACAGAATAAACATGAATAAATTAAAACTTTTATAAATGAGAACATAATCATTTAAATTAATTTAAAATTTAATTCATCAAACAAGGTAAAATTAATTTGATTGATTAAAGTTAAAGTTTACTAATTGAAAAGCTTCAGTAGATAGGACAAATTCTATACTGATAACAATTACAAAGAGCTAGTAAATTGAAGGATAGTACCATGCAATTTGCCCCATAATACAGCACAGTGAGGCAATTCACAGGCATGGAAGTGGGAAAGGCTCTAGCTAAGAAGGCTTAAGGATTCATGAAAAATAAGGAGGGAATGGTGGGCACGATATTTGGAGAGATTATTATGAGAATTTCCAAGACTTGAAGAATGACATGAATTCACAAACTGAACAGAGCATTCCAACTAAGTACCTAATAGAGTAATTCAAAACTAAAACCATGCCTAAATATATAATGCTATATTATTGCTATTATGTATCATCAGATTATTAAGGCTAAATGAAAATAAATAAATAAGCTTGAAAGGTACAAGAGGAAAAAAGCAAAGTATCTACAAAGGAATGACTATTCTACTGACAGAAGTCTTCCCTTCTGCAATAACTGGTGAAAGAAAACAAAAAAAAACATCGTCAAAGTACTGACGAAAATACCTGTCTACCTAGAATTTTATACCCAGATACATCAAGAATAAACCACATTAAGAATAAAGATAAAATAAAGAAATTTTCTAATATACAAAGCCTAGAGAACTTAACACCTACAGCTCTGAGTTAAAGAACTGTTAATAGACAGATTTCAGCAAGAAAAAAGGTGAATCCAGAAGGAAAGTCCAAGACACAATTTAAAAAAAATGACAATGGGAATATGGTATATGACAAAGATTGTGTTACAAATTAGCAGGAGCAGATGGAAAAAGAACCCCAAAACAGGCAAAAGAATTTAACAATTCTAAGAAAAGGAAAGCTGATTGACCAAAAAACATAAGAAAAAATAATTAATCTCCATGAGCAGGAAATTAAAACAAAGAGACAAAATTTCACACACCTCAGAGTGGCAAAAATTAAGAAGACTGGTATCAGCGAATGTTGGAAAATAATACGGAGAAAGAGGAACTATCATACACTGCTAATAGATATGTAAATTGCCCTAATCTAGTTAGAAAACTTTCTAAGAATATCTGATACAGATGATGTGTAGACCCTACTATCCAGGATTTGCCACCTAAAGAGACATGCTGCAAACATTTATTGCAGCATTATTTGTAAGAGTGAATAATTGAAAGCAATTACTCTACTAAAATAATAACAGGTATATATTGTGTGGGTTGTATAGTTGCAAAATGGACACTAAAATAAAATTTTTAGGTGTTCTTGTATCAAGAGTGATAAATCTTAAAACAATGTTAGACAATAAAAACAAGCTGCAGGATAGTTATGATAATTTACATAATAATTTAAAACATGAAACAATGTTGGATACTTACAAATACATGTTTAAAAAACATGCATGAGAAGATAAATACCAGATTCAGAATAATAATTTACTTCTGGTCATGGTGGGAAAAGAATGGGGTTTGGGTAAGTTACATGGGGGAATTTCAACTACATTTTCTAAGACTTTATTTAATTGAAAAATTAAAACATCTGTGAACAAGAAAGTAATGAACAAAGATATTAAATGATTCACCTTGTCCAACAACTCCATTTCTCTGTCCAGTCCAGGCTGGTCCTAAGAAAAGAAAGGGAAGTACAATGGAGTGACTGACAAGGTGGGGACTATTGACTTAGATTAGGATTTAACTTTGTCATCACTGAAATGCCTGTTAGTAAGTATAGCACTGGTTTATATCACACCACTTAATTTCTAAAAAGAAAGATAATGAGAGAAGTCACTGGAGAGATAGTGAAATATTTTTATACTATACATTTGAGTTCTTCTAAAAACAGTAGTTCTTGGATTGAATACTCCTCAGTAATACTTAGACATCAACAGGATTTACAGCTGACCTGGGTCATTTACATTGAAGCTGAGGGAAACATATAAAACAAACATATAAACAGGCATTTTAAGACATTTTCTTAGTTTAAAGTTTAAGTAGCTTGTTGCAGAAAAAAAAAATCAGAAAATAAAATATCTGTTCTCTAATCCTCCTGTCTGTCTTGAATTTCAAAGTTTGACCGTGGCTTTGATGTGTACACTTCATGCCTCAGGTCATGAAAGATTAAGTGCCCTTCTAACTTCTCTTTTCAGTAGAAGAAACCCTGATGAGGATGTGAAACAGGACTGCAACAGTGGAGGAGTTACTGCTCTGTGGCTGCTTTTTCTGTTTCCTTTCATTTTAGTTCTCTTAGGGCCAGAGTCAATAGCCGGATCTGGTAGACTCCATGGGTTAGTAAATTAGGCTGGGTCGAAAGAAAGAACTTGAAGCAGTTCAAAACTTCTTTGGGAGTTTTGAAATCAAAACAGAGTCTTCGAGGGTTGGTTGATTGGTTGGTTGGTTGGTTGGTTGGTTGACATGGTACATAAGTGAGTACGTGAGTTCATTCTGAAATGTTACCTGCATGTAGGAAGACTAGGGATGAGACAAAGATAAAATTCATACCTTTTAACCAGAGACTATAGCACATAGTCTACAGTGACATAATCATAAAATACACTGGAGTCTGAAGGTCTTCCTAACTTTTTTGTAGATGTTGGCTTGGTTTTTCAGAAAATTCCAGGAAAAATCAAAGCATTAACATGTAGCTTCAATTATTTCTGGGTTTCTTAAAGTCAATAGCAAAGATAGATTAATACCCTGAGCAACAAAATAAAACATATCCCGCTACAGATTGAGACATACTAGATACTCAATAGTTATTTATTGAATGAACTAAGTCAAATTTGGAGTTCTCATGTTATTGAAATTGAAATTTTTTGAATGTAAATTTAAACTAAGGATATTTCTTTAGGTCAGGCTATAGATGATGTCCAAGAATCCTCTCAATTCTGAAACTGTGAATCAAAAAAATTTTTTCTGTCAATCTAAAATTGTCAAAAGGGTCAGCATCTCATTTAAAGAGAGTTTTTTCAAGCACAAAGTGTGAGGCTAGACCACCTGGAAACACCAACTCCAAAAGCATTCAGTCAGTGCTCTGAAGTAGTGCAACTGGGATCTCATCTCTTATAGGCAGAGACAGAGAAGTTTTTATCAGGATTACAAAAAAGTATTCATACAAAGTTGACACCTGGTTAACAGAAATTTCATTGGTTGTAAGCAGTGTTTCTTTTGGGGAAGGGGACATTTAACATGTTTTTTACACAGAGTGTGATAGTGATTTATAGGTTTTCTGTCATCCGGCTTAAGCAAAGCGGGACAACAAAGGGGGGAAGTTAATCTACAACAAGGGTCATTAATTAAGAAGGCAGGAGATTTTTGTCCCTGACGTTATTTAATTCCCTCTAGTCATTGTACAGAACAAGAAAAATAAAGTGAGTTAATCTGTAATTTGAGAACAGAAGTTATAACTATATGTGACTCAGATCACAGTTACATCTTTTGCATGCTTAAAGTGATTTTGGGGGTTCCAACAGCTTTTAAATTTTATTTATCTTCATTTTTTTTTTTTTTTTTTGAGATTTCACTCTTGTTGCCCAGGCTGGAGTGGAATGGCACTATCTCTGCTCACTGCAACCTCTGCCTCCCACGTTCAACTGATTCTCCTGCCTCAGCCTCCCAAGTAGCTGGGATTATAGGCGCGTGTCACCACGCTCGGCTAATTTTGTATTTTTAGTAGAGACGGGGTTTCTCCGTTTGGTCAGGCTGGTCTCAAACTCCCAACCTCAGGTGATCTGCCCGCCTTGGCCTCCCAAAATGCTGGAATTACAGGTGACCCCAAACGAAATTATTTAACATATCTTATTAATAAAATTCATACAAGTAAAATCTGTTTAATAGCTTCTTCAGAAAGGTGCAAAATGCATTATTTACAAGAAATTTGCAGGACAGTGGGAGTGGGAGGAAATGCAGACATATATCGATAATGGATTTTTTAAAATGAGTATTTTTAAAGTTTTCCAGTGAATGAATAACTCAAGCAAAATAGAAATGTTTTCTTTAAACTTCTATAGAAAAAGTAGTTTGAGAAACACCACAACATATATTTTTTACAACATTGGACAGTTTAAAATTTTATACTTCATATGGAAAAATAAGTGCTATGCTCACACGAAGAAATAAATGATCATATAACTATCATCGGTCTGAGCCAAAATTTATTTTCTGTTACTGGTCTGTTACTAATATCAAATTTCCTTCGCATGAGAAAAAGAAAAATAAACTGGGAATCTGAAGATACAGACTGTCATGTACTTGTTAAATTACCTTGAACAACTAATTTAGTCTGTGAGCCATCATTATATTTATCAGTGGGAAGGATATATTAATATTTGCTCTTCCTAGATATCAGGACTGTTGCAAAAGGAAAAATAAATGTAAAAGTTCTTCAAAAAGCAGAAAGCATTATATAAAATGTACTATATTAATTACTGCTAAGAACATTCAATTCATGGGTACTGAGGAGTATAGTGCCCACAGACAGTGAAAATATGTGTGAATTTCTGGTAGGTGTAATCCTTGGTTCGTTCAAGTATTGATATCAGTCTTTCTCTCTCCTCTTTCTTTTCCCTTTCTGCATTTACTTCACTTCTGTAGAACCTCTACCTGTAACCAGTGTTTCCATATATGACTATAAACCTTCTCCTGAAACAGGAGTCCTGTTTGAAATTCATTACCCAGAAAAATATAACGTTTTCACAAGAGTGAACATTAGCTACTGGGAAGGTAAAGACTTTCGGACAATGCTATATAAAGGTAAGCAGCAAAAGGAAGGCTGAATCAATGATGACCCTCACTTTTTACACAGCTTTTCCCAAATGATGTTCTCTCTTACTGCAACGAGGTTTTATAATTCACTATTTGACCTATAAATGAGCCATTAAAAATAATTATTGACTTATAAAAATCATGCTATGAGGAAACCTAGAACATCTGGTTCATTTCTTGAGAGTCAGGTGTCATGTGTACAGCATGAGAAATACTCAAATTATTATCACTTACATGTTACTCTTCCCTAAGGCAGCATGCCTGGTGCAGGAAATAAATTCAGACTTAAGTTTGGAAGCACAAGTAACCATTTCCTTCTGGGTATGATAGATGGGCATTTCCGGGACTGGGAAGCCAGAGTGGTGCCTTTTGCAAAGTTTCACTTGGAGATGATCCAGCATCCTCAAATGCGATGCTGTTATGACCAGCTAAATGAATACATTAACATACAAAAATTAGTTTTGCTTTTTTACTCGCTTGATGGGAACCTTGTGGGGAAGGGAGAGAAAAGAGCCCAGGAGAAGCAATACTTCAGTCAAAGGAACAAAATCAACTTCTCTGGGTAGAAGGGGCTAGAGAGAGAGGGAAGAGAGGGCATTCAGTTTCATTTGGGAGTGAATCCTAGTGAAGGAACTTGAATACTCACAGGACATACCGGGTGGGGGTGGGAGGTAGGTAATGCTACCAGAGTTGGCTAACTGTAACTGATGAAACATGTGTTGGTGGGAAGAGAAAGAGTATTGAAGCACACAGAGCATGACATCCAGAAAAATGTCACTTTGACTTGCTTCTTTTACACACTCATTTCTTCCATGGATTTATTTTTTCCGAGACATTATTTAAAATATAAGCAGTGGGGCTGGGAGTGGTGGCTCACGTCTGTAATTCCAGAACTTTGGGAGGCCGAGGTGGGCAGATCACTTGAGTTCAGGAGTTCGAGACTAGCCTGGCCAACATGGTGAAACACTGTCTCTACTAAAACTTACCAAAAAAACTAGCCAGGCGTTGTGGCGGGCACCTGTAATCCCAGATACTCAGGAGGCTGAGACAGAAGAATCGCTTGAACCCGGGAGACAGAGCTTGCAATGAGCCGAGATCACACCACTGCACTCCAGCCTGGGCGACAGAGCAAGACTCCATCTCAAAATGAATGAATGAATGAATAAATGAAATATACGCAGTGAATTTAGTTTTTTTAAACTTTGAAAAAATCAAAGAAACATAAATTCCACAAATTATGTTGTTTATTTACAATGAAAACAAATAATCTGCAAATTAATAAATGGAAAGTTGTTTATAGATCATATGCAAATATATTTATGAATGATTAAAAAGCAATTACTGAAACTTTTGTTAATCATAAATTTTAAAATAATATAATCCCATTCTTAAGTCAATTACTTCTTATTACTTCTTCAAACTATTTTTAGATTTCAATTCAATAAGTGGTATTTTTAGTTTTTTCTCTCATTTCTTTTGAGTCGGATTGGATTTTTAGTTTATTGTTATTCTCTTTAAAGTTTTCTAAGTGGAGTTCAAACTTTTATTATTTCTTTTTTTGGGCAGGTTCTGTCTTCAAACTGGCAAATAAACCAGTTTTAAATTAGACTAGTTTTTCTAAATGAAAACTTTTCTTGTAAAATTGCTTTTTTTCAGGTCATAAGATGGCAAAATACCTTAGATTTTTATTTTAAAGTAAATGGCCAGTGTAAACTTAACGTCTACAATTTCTTTATATTATCTCCTTCAATTAATACATACCCCAAAAGTTCCTATCATAAAAAGTTAACTCCAACTGTGTTCGATTTCCTTAGGAATTTTGTCAGAAAAAGCCCTTCAGGATTGAGTTTAAACATTCAACGTTTTGTCTCTAGCCTTCTACTAACTCTTTATTATTGACCATAACAGTAGTTGAAGGAAATATTATGTTGTGAATGTTTAACCATAATTGTTTCAAACTTTCCAGAAGTGTGTGACATTTAGAAGACCATATTTTTCATGTAATTGATTTTCTCTTCACAGATTTCTTTAAGGGAAAAACAGTATTTAATCACTGGCTGCCAGGAATGTGTTATAGTAATATCACCTTTCAGCTGGTATCTGAGGCAACTTTTAATAAAAGTACCCTTGTTGAGTACAGTGGTGTCAGTCATGAACCCAAACAGCACAGAACTGGTAAGTCTCCTGAAGAATCAAATACAGTGAAAAAATAATTCAGTTATATTTTGCTGTATATTTATTTTTTATCCTAAGAAATATTCTGGTCCAGAGCAAAGAAAGAAAATGCATATGTTTAATAACCTAAAACAAATTTTATATCAATGTAAAGAGAACTGGGCAAAATATTCAATAAGAAAAATCTAAAATATGTCAATGCAATCATAGATTTGTAATCTTTGAATAAAAAACTACTATATTATTACCAAAGGTTATAATTAAGTAACTTACCCAGATCTAGTAGACATCAGTTATTGCTGACAAGTGGCCCTACGGCAGAAAAGAGGGAAGACATTCTAGTACAGTTTATCAGATTATTAAAGGAAAATATTGAAATTCAAATGTATCTCAAACTTGAAGTGCTTAATTTTAGTAACACCACTAATATAAAGCACTATTGTAGGATAGATGGATAGATGCATGCATGGATGAATGGATGGATGGATGGATGGATGGATGGATGGATGGATGGATGGATGGATAGATGGATGTATGGATGGAAGAATGAATGGGTAAAATAAGCATATATATATTAAGTACCCATCACCAATATAAGCAACATTGTATGTGCCTAATGTGCCTGCGTATTCAATAGGAAAGCTGGAGAGGCCATTCTGATGAGCATCAGGAAAGGATTATGATAGATTACTTCTAAGGTCTTGACAATTTGAAATTCTAAGATATCATGATTCTTATTCATTAGTCGAAGACCAGGAAACTATTTCAGCTAAATCACTAATTCACCTAATGTCAACATTTAAGATTCTATTTATGTTTTTCATTATTCAATGTAAGTAGAAAAACATTAATTGAGCACCTTCTACCTGGAATTTGTTCTAAGTACTGAGACATGAAGACAAAGACTGATGAGACAGGATCCTTGTCCTCAAAAAATGGTACTCGTAATACACAAATGGCACTAATACGAGGCAGAATGAGATAAATATTATAAAAGAGGTACAAAGTTATTTAACAGCACGAAGGAGAGAGAAATTTTTATTAGAAGTTCATGGGGCCCAGCACGGTGGCTCATGCCTGTAATCTCAGCACTTTTGGAGGCTGAGGCGGGTGGATCACCTGAGGTCAGGAGTTTGACGCCAGCCTAGCCAACATGATGAAACCCTGTATCTACTAAAAATACAAATATTAGCCAGGCTTGGTGTGTGGTGCCTGTAATCCCAGCTACTCGGGAGCCTGAGGCAGGAGAACCGCTTGAACCCAGGAGGCGGAGGTTGCAGTGAGCCGAGACCGCACGCCATTGCACTCCAGCCTGGGCGACAGAGCGAGACTCCGCCTCAAAAAAAAAAAAATTAAAAAAAAATTCATGGAAGAGGTGATAATTGAACTGCTATTTGAAGGCCAAGTAGAAACTGTTATAGGCAGAGACTATGCAGTGTGTCTTTGTAGTTTTCTCCCTGTAAGTAAAGTGTGCTTCCATAATTTACAAACTCATTTTGTGCTTATATGTTTCATTTTAGAGAGGTGAGGAGTGAAGCCATATTTCTAACATGTGTGTTAACATCTCTAAAGGCAGCGCACGCATGCAACTCTCCTAGGTGCAACTATGTCACATGGAGTATTTTCATCTTCATAGCTATAAGTACACTATACTTGTTTTTTCTTTGTAATAAAAATCCAGGAACACAGATACATTTTTTTGTAAGTGAGATTATGATAAACTGAAAAATATTTACATACTCTGCTTTTAGAAGTGGTTAAATTACCACTTCAACAAGCATAATATTGCAAGTTAATATATTTGAAGTGTGACTAGTGGTATGTTAACAGGTACACATCATCCACAAAATGTTAGAAGTATATATATGGAGAAAAACGCAGTTTATCTTGACGTAAATTTGTCTGTGTATTAGAAGTAAAATTAAATTCCATTTTTAAAAATCTGCTTTTGTCCTTGACTCATTAAGAGATTAAGTATTCACTCAAATTGAATTAAAAATTACTTGAAAGTGAAAATTCTCTCTCTTACAGCCCCTTATCCACCTCAGAATATTTCCGTTCGTATCGTAAACTTGAACAAAAACAACTGGGAAGAACAGAGTGGTAATTTCCCAGAGGAATCCTTCATGAGATCACAAGATACAATAGGAAAAGAAAAACTCTTCCATTTTACAGAAGAAACCCCTGAAATTCCCTCGGGCAACACTTCTTCCGGTTGGCCTGATTTTAACAGCAGTGACTATGAAACTACGTCTCAGCCATATTGGTGGGACAGTGCATCTGCAACTCCTGAAAGTGAAGATGAATTTGTCAGCGTACTTCCCATGGAATACGAAAATAACAGTACACTCAGTGAGACAGAGAAGTCAACATCAGGCTCTTTCTCCTTTTCCCCTGTGCAAATGATATTGACCTGGTTACCACCCAAACCACCCACTGCTTTTGATGGCTTCCATATCCATATTGAACGAGAAGGTAAAGCAGTAGGAAATCAGAGGAAATAAGAACTGATACAAAGGAAGGGGAATTGAAGTGTTTTTAAATTTGAGTTTAGAAACACTGATCATAGACACTCAATCGCCAGAGAATAATGGTAAAGAAAGGGAAGAATGTAATTGGGTATCCAATGCAGACAGAGCAGAAAATCCAAATGAATAGACTGGGTAAGAATCAGAAGGTTTGGGTGATTCACAAGTTGTGAGTACTGCCAACTGTATATATTTTACTGCCTGATATTTCTCATGTCTCAGAACAATGAGAAAAACATCATATCTGGAAATATTTTGAATCAAAGATCTAACTATCCCAGAATATTACAGCATATCCTAGAGAAATTTCCTGTTTTCTCATATGCAAATTTTTAAACATGGCAGCAAAGTAATACTTATGAACACATTACTACTTTCCTCAAAAATATGAGGCTTGTGTCCTGCTAACCAGCTACTCTTGTTCCCTTTAGGGTGTGTCCCTCTGGAACAAGCACCATAGTTTTCCAAAGAGAAGCTGAAGCTGATAGTAACATGGAAAATACACAGCTACTGACATTTCCATATAGCTACTATATTACATTTTGCATTGACTAACTCAGCATCTGAGATTCATTCTTTATAGCCCACTAACTTAGGAAAGTAGAGTCATGACTTTCAACAAGTTTGGGTCATGATACCTATCTCAATTGTTGTTTGGTAGATTTTTATGGTTATTTGTTGTTTGTTTAGTTTTTACAATAATATACTTCATTTTCCATTTTCCGGTCTAGTAGTTTGAGTGGCAGAGGTTATAATTTGTAAAAATTTGAAGTTACGATGATAGCCTTATTTTTAGGGTGAGAGTTTAAGGCCCATGTAGTCTCATATACTGACATATTGTTTACTCCTATTTTACTTAATAGCATGAGATACAACAAAAATCTGTGGATTCTTCTATACAAGATGATGCAGCATTCAACCATAACCAAATAACACATAAAATGAAAATTCTTAATTATTTGAGTCAAAAGTCATTTTCTTGGAATTGCCTACATTTTTTTTAAAGTTTCCCTAATCGTCTTTTATTTTTCTGTTCCTAAATATGTTCCTATGGCAAATAGGATCTTGTCATTACAAAATTTTTTTACCGCCTCTTCTCATGAAGGTTCTATTATGCATTTATCTGACTATAGTGTCTTCTTTTGAAGGCTGTTGTAGTCACCAACTGATGATAATGACTTCAAATGAAGTAATAAGCAGCAGAGGATGGATGGACTGTGATGCAGTGTGAAATAATTCTTTCTTTAAGAAGATTTGAAAGCAAATGGATGAAGGAAAAATATTACCATGATTATTATTTTTAAATTTTACTTTAAATTCTGGGGTACATGAGAAAATATATCTTAAAAAATGAGATGTATTTTAAATAAATGTTAAAGCACTTCTGAATGGTTAATACCACCACAAAGAACTTACAAGATATTTGATGCTGGTTATTTTTTAGCCCTTACCTCGTGATGAGGAAGCCAATAATTGTTATCTTTTCCTGACTATCTACTTCTGTTTTGTAAACATAATTTTGTTGGGTAGGAGTACATAAAGATACACAGTGTAGACCCATCCCTAGTTTTATTGATTTGAATGCCATATTTGAGTTTTGTTATTTGGAAGGTTGTAAAAATATTGAACTCTTACTTATATTCTTTAATAGTACCTTTAGTTTAGAGGTGTAACAACTTGACAAAAGGAGGGAACATTTAAAATACCTAATTTTTTTTTTCATTAATTGACTTGTCTATACCCAGGGCCTTTCCAGGTGTCAATTCATATATCTTCTCTTTTTTTTATATGATTTAGAGAACTTTACTGAATATTTGACGGTGGATGAAGAAGCACATGAATTTGTTGCAGAACTGAAGGAACCTGGGAAATATAAGTTATCTGTGACAACCTTTAGTTCCTCAGGATCTTGTGAAACTCGAAAAAGTCAGTCAGCAAAATCACTCAGCTTTTATATCAGTAAGTAACAAAGAGATCACTTTACACTTACTGGGGAGCTAGAACAATGGAACTGGTGAGATTATTCATGCTCAGATGTCAACTATTCACAAACCTTAGAGATGCGGAGAAGTCTTCAAGATCAGGAGAGGCTGAGATCCACAAGCTTTGGACAGCAGAGGAAATATATGCATATTTAATAGTAGCAATCCTATCCATGGGTTTAATTTGAGGATTCTTTTCACTATTGTGATAATTGAACATTTATTAAACTGACCTTCCACATTAGCCATAACAAACCCTCCAAGGATGTGGACATACAGTTTGGGAAATACGACATTTGCTTGAGGCCATAAGGAAATGACATTATAGGACTGTGAAAAATCTCATTAGAGTATTGAGCTTGCGAAGCTCAAAAGAAAGACAAAGATTCAAGTACACCCAGGTGGTCTCCATAAAATTGGTGGAAAAAGCCATAGCTAGAGCAACCTAAAAGCCCAATGTCAAGTCCTAGGGTGGCCTCTACCAATTCCATAAGGGTCACAGCACAGCAAAAGCTAGCCTCTGAAGGTTGCACAAACAGTGCCAGCCTCTATAACGTGTTTAGCTAAACTGACTATGTTTACTGGAAGTACAGAAGTCAAAAATCAGTAACCTACCCTATCAGGAGTTATATGTGCCTCCGATCAGTAGAAAGAAAAACCAGAAGGCAAAGAATAAAAATTGCTTTCAGAAAAGGATAACCACCACATATCCTATTGCCATCTGGAAAGGCAAAATACCACCTTTCGTTCAAGAATGGATGAGAGCAAAAGAGGAGCTCAGTTTATGCAGCAGCTTAAAAAT